CTGGTAAGTTCAGGCTGGAGTACAGGTGGGGAGATGGGAGAGGCAGGGGCTAGTAAGGCACAACAACCCAGGTGTCTTAATCCATCTGGATCGCTATGACAAAAATGCCACAGACTAAGTGGCTGCGATCACCAAAGGGTACTTCTCACAGTTCTGAAAGTTAGAAGTCCAAGACCGAGGTGCCAGTAGACCCAGGGTCTAGCAAGATCACACCCCCTTATTTGTAGATGGCTGTTTTCTCACTGTATCCTCACATGGCAAAACAGAGAGAGAGAAGAAGCAAGATCTCATGTCTCTTCTCACAAGGGCCCTTTCCTGAGGACTCCACACTCATGACCTAATCACCTCCCAAAGGCCCTGCCTCCTAACACCGTCTGATAGCCTAACAAAGGGGGTTAGGGTTTTAACACTGAATTTGGGAGGGACACTAACATTCAATCCCTGGCACCATGTGAGAAGTGACGGTGCTTAGACCAGCGCAGTGGTGATGGGTGGTGCCCCCAGGTTACATACTCGATACATGTGAAAGGCAGAGCTGACATGTTTGCTGATAGACTGGGTGCCCAAGGGGTAAGAGAAAAAGAAGAGGCCAGAATGATTCCAAGGCTCTAGTCTCCAGAACCTGGTATGGAGAGCCCTGACTTACTGAGATAAGGGATTTCCCAGCAGGTATAGACTTGGAGGAGAAGAAATTCCAGAGTTCAGCTTTAGACATGTTAAGTTTGAGATGCCAATTAGGCGGACACATGGATGTGGTACATTTGCAATTGGGAGGGCCTATGGAGAGGACTGGCATAGAAATATAAATTTGAGGGCTGGCTCTATAGCACAGCAGTTAAGCATTGTGCAGAGGAAATCAGATTCCACATGGTCAACTTGGGTTCAAATCCTGGCCCTGGTGGCAACATGCTGGGTACATGCACATTTCAGGATCTTAATGGGACAGAGAATTGGGGGGAAAGGAATGCAGCATGACCATGCCTCTTTGAGGAGTGCTTCCTCATGGATTTTTGTCTGTTTTGCTTACTACTGTGTCCCCGAACACCTGGAACACTGCCTGCCACATTGTAGGTACTCAATAATTAATTATTAGAAGAAAATAATCGAACTGGTGCCCAGGTAATCTCTAAAATCCTGTTTGCAAGACTGTGGTTGCCTTGTTCCCTTGTGACCAAGTCTTGGTCTTATGCTCCGGTCTACGAAGGCTCTCATGGCCTATTTTGTGGCCTTCTCACCGTCCTGCTACCTGGCACATCCTCTTTACCCCAGCACCTCTGCCTTTCCTGAGTCCTTTTCGCCTGGATCTCTCTTCCTCGATTTAACAGACTAACAGATAAAAGCTAAATTAGCAGGTCTCTCTGCCTGTAAATTACCTGCTAATGAGTGTCTTTCTCACAACGAACATTTAGGCCATGCCAAAAGAAAGAGACATGTCATACTCAGGACACATGCATCCTTTGACTGGCATGGGGGAGGACACGGGCTCCCAGGCTGAAGACACTACCTTTGAGATACAAAACAGATGTGTCGTCCTCACTCAGGAAACCATCGCTTCACAAAGGAACAAAGACTTTCAAGGAAAGTTCTACTGTGACTTCAGTAAAGGCCACCAACACTTCTATTTCATACAGCATTTGCATTTTTCACTTTCATAGTACCCAAACACTCCAGGAGTTCAGCTGAAAAAAATTCTTGTGGACCTGGATGGTGGCATCATGGTGAAAATGTGACACCCTGCGAGGCTGACCTATGTAGGAAGGTTCCTGGTTCAGGTTCAGAGACCTCCCTGAGTATGCTGGGTGTGTGTGCCCCTGTCATCCAGGGCTGGCTGAGGCTGGGGTGGATCACACGGTCAAGACTCTTCCCGGTGCTGTCTCTCTGTCTCTACTCCTCATAGAAAAAAATAAATAAATGAATAAACTTAAAAGAAAACACTTTCACTTTTAAAAGTCACGAGAGCCATGCCAAAAGAGACAGCCCATTGAGAGTCAGGTAACATCCACAGGTAGGTGCTAACCCAGACAGGCACCTGGTCCGAGGCTAAGACCCCTTCTCTAGAAGCATCTTTCTATGGGTGATCAGGAGCTCCCACCTTGGCTGTGCAATGAGGAGCTTTGACCACATCCGTGCCAGACCCACCCTGCAGATTTCTGATTTCTGGGAGAGAGCCAGGCACCAGTCTGTTTGTAAAACCCCCAGGTGATTCGAATATGCAAAGAGAGTTGAAAATGACTAAGTTGGATTCATCTTTCTCACTGTTTCTATAAACCAATTCATTCGACCCCATTTGTGTCCCTCACACATAGACTCCATCCAGACCATGACCGAGACAATTCCTTTCTCTCATCATCATCTTGATTCACTTACTTCCTGTTTCATTCATTACTTTTGTCTTAATACATTTTTATTCATTTTTATGGACTAACATGTGTAATAGGGCCGCTTAAGAGAATGTGTGAATGTTCATTGATGAAAAGGAATAACTCCTGAGAAACAGTTCCAGCATTGGAGAAAATAAAACTAAAACAATACGATATTCCAAATTTCCACCAAGCTTTCCTCCCTCTGCAAACTCTACAGCAGAAATGACACTGTGCACCCTATTCTGAGAGCAACCCTATTATTGACAAAGTGGGTAAAGAGGTAAACAAAGAAAGCCATGCTCATTTCAAGCCTCTAAGAAGCACAGGCCAAAAGAAAAAATAAAATCAATCAACCTTTGCCAAGTGGAAAAGAACAAAACCAGCCAGGACTGAAGTTCTATATTCAGCTTTTCAAAGAGTATTGTGAACAATAGAAAACGAACAGTGTGTAATCACTCAAAAAGATTTGCAAAGAACGCAACAGCATCGTGCAACAGGAGTTAAGACTACTGGGTGTATGTTTACTCTGCAAGGAACAACTGGACACTCAGAACTTCATTCATAAAATGTTCTGTGTGGTTGCATTTATTCCCCACAAACCTCTTCCTCAGAGAGCCATTGGACTATCAGGAATGGTCTCCATACTCACCTTACAAATACATATATATTTAATTTGCTATCAATCAGGTACACATATTAGAGAGATACAAAGAGAGAAGGAAAGTGAGAAGGCACCCCTAGGGGGAATGACCATGCTACATTCGCTTCTCCTGCATTCTCTTGCGATTGTGGGCATGCATGCACACGTGTCCGGCTTGTTTTTTAAGTCTTCATATCCAGGACTCGAACCACTCAGTCGGCCATGTGAAAGCAATCATGCCACTTGGCTTGCCTACCTTACAAATCTTTTCAAAACACTGTCAGCAAGCACTTTAATTCCCACTTCACAGGAAGAAAAACAAGGCAGGAAGAGGTTAATTACTCTGATCAACAACATGGTAGTTAAACTGTGTCAAGCACAGCTAAAAGTAGGAAAGCAATTTTCCCTGGTGTCATTGCTAACCGAAACCTTTCCACCTATTTTCTCAAAAAAAAATCAGCAACTGGAGTTTGATGTTCTCAAGCCTAACAACTTTTTCTTCTTTTCCAAGAACTCTTTTGTGTATTCTCCCTTTGTCTTTCTTTCTCCGTACGCCTTTCTCATTTAGAAATCGCCTTAACACGGTTCAAACTGTTATAATTAGCTCCAAGGGACCATCCAAAAAGCTTTTCCTTCTACTAGGATTTGGGTGACTACATGGGTGTTGAGATGAGCAGCCATCTGCTCGGATGTGGTACTGTTCCTTATTAGATAGCAGCTTCCCTAGTGCGCCGTACATGGGTGGTGAGGGGTGGGTGGGGAGAGGGTGCGAGTAAGGGATCTCCAGAATGCCTTCCCATGAGGGGTGCTAAATGAGGTGTGTGAGGATGCCAAAGCAGAGGGGGGAAGGCTGCCCATGTGTTGGTTCTGCTAATTAGCACCATTTGAAGATAATTATGATAAGACCACACAGGGAGAGCATGATGGTTCGAGTGTAGTAGACCACTGAGTAAACAGGAGAGTGAACTACATTTCCTTAGTGATGGAAAAATCTTTTGGAAGATGGACTAAAGGAGGCTGAGGGCTTTGGTCTGTTGCAGGAACTAGAAGAAATCCAAGCACAGATGGACCACCACACTCTGATCACTACCAAACACTCCCAAGTTTCCTCCATCCATTGCAGTATTTGTTAACCAAGCAAGACTTCCACTGCAGTCTCAGCTCAAGAGAAAGATGTGGCTGGTGTCTCCCATATCTCAGTTCATTCAGAGCCACTGCCCTTAGGAGAGCCACCAGAACTAAGGAGGAGCCTGGCCCACTACGTTGGGAAGACGCTGGAAGACATGCCAGTGAAGCACAATGGCTTCCCTCTGGCACCTGCTGTCTACCCGCCCACCACACTTTCTAGTCTCTTCTGCTGGTTTTGCTTTTATCACTAAGTTCTTTGTCTTACACCAGTCCTGTGTCCTACTTCAACTCTTGCTTCCTCTGCATTTGATCTTTGTGGTGTTTCTGTCTTTCTTTCCTCCCTTCTTCTCAGATGCAGATGCAAAAACCTTGCCTCTATTTCCTAACTCAAGTCCACCATCTTCTGAGCCTTGGAAGCCACAGGCATGTGCTGGCCTTCCATTACATAGACGTCAGTCAGTTCTCTGCTGCCCCCGCCTGGCCCCTAGCAGAATCTGCAGGTGGTAATCTGATAAACAGGCCCCTCCCCTCCAACACAGCTCCATCAGATTTTGGAATTAACCCAAACTTTACTAATTTTCTTTATCCCTATCTGACTTAATTGATGGGTCCCAAGCAATTCTTAATGTCTAATGGCCAAACTGTGATCATGACTAAGTGAATTACTTTAAGGGAATTTTTAAAGGTAAGAGCTGAACAGTTGTAGCACTGTGAGCATTCGGAAAAGTCCAACCTGAAATGGCAGCTTTTTTGCTAATCACTAGAACACTGTATATAAATGTGGCATTATTGCAAAAAGTGATCACTCTGTAACATAGATTGTAGTTGTTCTCCTGTCCTTCTATTTTAAATTTTAATATTGAGGGCCAGGATAAGGAAGAAAGGCAGGGAAAGGAGAAAGAGGAAGAGCTGACTCAGCCATAGTTTCCCACACACTTCTGGTTTGTGAAGCAGCTTAGAAACTGATGAGAAAAAATTCCAGGATCTGAAGGCACCGAACTGTCCAACCATTTGTACCTAAGAGAACAGCAGGAGCATAAATAAATGCCAGACCTGTTCAGCCTCCCAACTCAAGCCCCCGGATGGATTCAGGTACACAGGAGGCCCTTAATAAGTATTTGCTGAATCAGCCAATGAACACAAATGTAATTCACAGCACTTTGTAAGCCACACACGCATTCAGCGCCTTCTAAATATTGGTTATCTTATGCATATGTAGCCTGACCCTTAGCAGCACTTGCTTAGAACACACAGGTACTCAATAGTACACGTGCTGTCCTCCATCTTGCAGCTGTAGCTAGCTCTACCTTCACACTCCATATTACTAGTTAAAAATTGGCTTGGGGTGAGAAAAACATTTATTTTCATCAATCGCCAAAGTACTTCCTTGCTCTGAAAAATGAACGGTCTGCAATAACATCTCTACATTCTGCCTTCTTTTGAATGTATTGTATTTCTCAGTGCAAATCCAATGCAGTGTTGATAATATTCTCTTGTTGGGGCCAGCATGTGGCATGGTAGCTAAGATGCTGGGTTCTCACAGGGTTCACTTTGGTTCAAGCTCCGACTCAGGTAGCTTGAAAATCACGCCTGGCCACATGTGCGTGGGTGCCCAAGATTCCGGGAGGAGAATGGAGACGGGATTGCTGCATAGCCATCCCCCAGGGAATGATTTCTCACTTTCTTTCTTTCTCCCTCTGACAAGTGTACACACCCTATGGCAAAAATCTTTAAAAAAAAATAATCTCTTGTGAGACCACAGATGGCATAATGGTTACATCACTGAACTCCCACACAGTCAACCATGGTTCAAGTCCTGGACCTGGTGGCTTAAAACTCACTCCAGGAGCATATGAATGTGTGCTTGCCGAAAATCCCCAAGGAGAGAATGGAGGTGAAGGGATTGAGTCATGGCCACCCCCTAGGGGATGATTTTTCACTTTCTCTCTCTCTCTCTCTCTCTGTGTGTGTGTGTGTGTGTGTGTGTGTGTGAATGCACATGCCCTATAGCAAAACTCTCTTTAAAAAAATTCTCTTGTCCATGCACTGATAACTGGGAAGTATTATAGTGGAGAAGGTAAGTTTAGTGGTCTTAGAATGAAACTGCAACTTAGGACCAATAGAAACATAGGCATCTCTTTAACATAATGGAGAAAAAGCACTTGGCTATGATTAGAGTCCAAGCTAAAGACATTGGGAATAGATAGGTAGATTCCACCTTTCCCAACAGAAATGACAAAATGTGATATGGAACTTTTTGTGGATTATCTTGATAGATTCAGGTTGGGGATATATAGGTTCAGAAAAATAAATCCCAAAGGCCTGATGCCACATGCTGGGAGCAGGGCTGCCTAAGACACTTTGATAGGCATTACTTTGCCATCCATTAATAGCTTGAAATTTTAACTAGTTGATGGAACAACTGACTACAATACAAGGAGGTACAATAGTTAATAAACTGGAAAGCCCAAACACAATAGTAGCTAAATATTCAAAGTAAAAACTGTTTAAAAGTGCAAAGTTTTGACTAAAATTTATTACAGATGTCAATATACCCCTTTTTAGAAGCGAATCAATGTTACATCCAATTATCTACATTTGCTAGCGATATAGATATCCTTATACCTTCCAATTAGGGAATTGTTTTTCATCTATCCATCAACTACTTAAAATATTTGATAATTAATTGGAACACAAAAAATACATAAATATCTATCTATCTATCTATCTCTATATATCTCCATACATATACAAAAGAAGTACAGTTTGCAGGCCACACAATCTGATAATAACCCAATAAAATCTGAATTAAAAGATGAAATCTTGAAAATTATAACTAACCTTAAGAATCAAAGATGATATTCAAGGTATCTTGAAGGCAATGAGAAAAAGGCTTCAGTCCAAAATCTATGGGCTATAAAAAAAGATATTTAATGCAATTTAAATACATAAAACTATATTATTTATAAAAATTTCAATATAAAATATGAAAACAGAAAATGGGCCCAGTTGCGGTGGCACACAGATAGCACTACCGCTCTGGATGCTGGAAGGCAAGCCAAGCAGACGGGTATCCTGCACACGCCTGTAATCCTGGCTCATTGGCAGGCTGGGGCAGGTGCAGTGAGACCCTGTCAGAAATACCTCTCTCTGCCTCTCTCCCTCTCCCTTCCTCTCTTTGTCTCTATCCCTGTCAGTCTCTCAAATAAAAAAGAAAAAGATTTATGATATGTGTACTTAATACTAATTTAAGACAGTAAAAAAAGAATAACATGAATCTTAAAAAGTTAAGAAAACCGGGCCAGCAGATGGCTTCGTGGTAATGTCGCTGGACTCCCACATGGCTGACCATGGCTTGAATCCCGGACCTGGGGCTTGACAATCACATGGGAAGAACAGTGGATAATGTAATGGTTACTTCACTGGACTCTTATGCAGTTGACTGCAGTTCAAGTCCTGTACCTGGCAGCTTCAAACTCACGCAGAGCAAGGGTGCATATGTGCCCAAAATCCCAAGAGGAGAACAAAGGAGAAAGGACTGCAGCATGACCATTCCCCCGGGGGAGTGATTTATTGCTCTCTGTCTCTCTTTCTCTGTCTCTCTGGAGAGTGCATGCACCCTATAGCAAAAAGTTCTCAAAAAGAAAGAAAGAAAGAAAGAAAGAAAAAGAAAGAAAGAGAAAGAGAAAACCACATCAGACGCGTGTATGTGCATGCCCAAGATCCCAGGAGGAGAATGGAGAAGGGGTTACAACATGGCCACCCTCCTGGGGGTGATTTCGTACTCTCCCTCTTACTGTCTCTGTCTCCCTCTCTCTCCAGTAAGCATATATGCCCTAAAGCAAAAGCCTTTAAAAAATAATAAGAAGAGAAATTAGAAACCAAAGCTAAAGGAAATACAGCAAAAAAGTAGAAAGAATAGGTAAATCTGAACACTCTTTTTGTGAAAGACCAATACAGTAGATCTTCTTCTTATAAACCTGGCAGGAAAAAAAAATGAAGGAAGAAATAATTAAACATACAAAACTAAGAATAAGGAAAGAACAGAGCCTAAGAGTATTGTACTTACAAACTTAAGTCAATATATAGAAAGGAAGGAAGGAAGGAAGGAAGGAAGGAAGGAAGGAAGGAAGGAAGGAAGGAAGGAGAAAGAAAGAAAGGTACCTGGCAAACTTTCCTAGTAAAAAATAAATTATGAAAATTGACCTGAGAAATGGTGGGAAAAGTGAGTAGATCAATTATCATCAATTATCATTGAGAGCAGGAAAAGTTCTTGAACAGCTATCTTTGAAAAGGAGTCTGAAACCTAGTGGAGGTCACAGCTGAGTCCTATTTAAAACATAAAGGAAAGGTAATTAGAGGAAATCTTCCTTCACTTAATACCTGTCAGCTCCGGAAGCACTGAGTTGTGTGGTGGGGACAGGAGCCCATTCACTCTCACTTCAATTCACAGTGGCATGAACCCTGGTCTCTGGAAAGAGCAGCCTTGCATATCTGCCCCAACTGGATTTTGGAAGGACAGACATGAGTTCAGTGATTAAGACAGCACGTGTGAGCCAGGCCTGGGCTGATGTCTGGCTACCCCACTGACTAGTTACTTACCCTAAAAAGGAGACAAATAGTGACCCCTACTTTTTCAGGGGTTACTAAACTGATGGAATCAGCTGCAAAGGCATGTGAAGATTTACCACTGTGCGGAGCACACAGTAAGTGCTCAGAAAGTGTCGACCATGGATAGGATTGTAATTAGCCCAGGAAAACTCCATCAGCAAAGGGGAACCAGAAGCACCCATAGCTAAAACTTCTATTCCGGCTTACCTGCCAGGACTGAGAATCCCCAGGCCTCCTCTCCAAGAACTCTTTGCTCCTTCCCTGGGCATAGGTCTCTCTCCTAGTATGTCACCTCCTGTTGGAGAACTTAAGACATTTCTCTGGCATCTGTTGTGAGCCCAAAGACCTAATTCTGCCCCTCACTTTTCTTTCTTAGCTGACAAATAAAACATATATATCTACAACATGATGTCTGGATACCTATATGCACAGTGATCTGGTTAAATCAGATTCATTAACATACCCATCCCATCACATACTTACTTTCTGTGGTAAGAACTACTCTCTTAGCTATGTTCAAGTTCTGTACCCAGGGCATTATCCCTAACTACAGTCACCATGAGTATGCTACCTCTTCAAAACGTATTCATCCTGGGGCCAGCATGTGGCATGGTGGTTAAGGGTGCTGAATTCCCATATGGTCAACTGTGGGTCACGTCCCGGGCCTGGTGGCTCACTTTCTCACTTTCTCTCTCTCTCTCCCTCTCTGGTAAAATTAAAATAAGCAAAGTTAAATAAAATAATTATTAAAAAATATATTTAAAAAAAACCTTATTCATCCTAATGAAAACTTTAGGCCCTCTGATCAACTTCTCCCAATTCTGTGCCCCCCACACCCACACCCAGGCAACCCACCATTTCCTCTCTGCGTCTATGCGTTCAACTATTTTAGCTTCCACACGTAAGTGACAGCTGATGCTATTTGTCTTTCTGTGCCTGGCATAAAGTCCTCCAGGTGCATCCATGATGTCACAAATGACAGGATTGCGACGAATAGTTTTAATTATATGTTTTAAAGTCACATGTTCATGTGCTTAAATCTCGATTAACAGGGAACCAGCAGTTAGCATAATGGCTATGTCGCTGGACTTCCACGTAGTCGACCGCAGTTCGCGTCCCGGACCTGGTGGCTTAAAACTCACGCCAGGCGCATGTGCGTGCATGCCCAAGATCCTGAGAGGAGAATGGAAGAGAAGGAATTGTGGCGTGACCATCCCCCCTGGGGGGTGATTTCTCGCTTTCTGTCTCTATGTCTCTCTGTCTGGCGAGCACACGCGCCCTATAGTGAAAATCTCTCCAAAAAAAAAAAAATCTCGATTAACAGAATTTAAGCAATTGTTGAAATGTATGAATGTCTCCTTAATATACTGATTTCAAGTGAAAAAAAAAAAAGACAGGATTGCCTTTTTACTAAAGGTTAATGAAAGCATTCCACGGTGTATACGTGCCATGTTTTCTTTATCCAGTCCTCCACTCATGGGCACTTGGCTATTGTGAATTATCCTGCAGTGACCATGGGGGTGCAGATATCTCTTCAATATACTGACTTCATTTCCTTTGGAATATACAAAAGTCCAGCTCATTTTCATAACATACTACATATATTATGTTACTGCCCGTTTAATTTTTTTTTTGAGAGTTTTTATGCTGTAAGACTCATACACTCACTAGAGAGTCAGATAGAAAGTAAAAAATCACTTCTTAGGGGGGATGGCCATGCTGCAATCCCATCCTTTACTCTCCTCCTGGGATTCTGGTGGGCATGCCCTCACATGTGCCCAGTATAAATTTCAAGATGCCAGGTCCAGGACTTGAACCGTGGGAGTCCAGCACTTTAACCACTATGCCACCTGCTAGCATGCCTGTTCACTCTTCATAGTCAAGCTTTTGCCTCCTTAGTTTCCTCAAGCAAGTTTCTCAAAGGTTTTATTCTGTATTCCTCCACCTTCCTCAATCTCTCTGTAGACGTGATATTATCGAATACCTTCTCCATGGTAAGACTCAGTCCTGTGGTTCCTCAGAAGGCTCACAGGGGGGCTCTCCCCCTTCTCCCATGCTACACCTTCCCAGAAATCAGCAGCCCCAGCCTGAAGCAATCACTTCCTAACTGGTCCTGCTCCCTTCAGGCTTCCCAGCTTCCACTACTGCCATGAATCTCTCTGAAACCCAAATCTGGCCAACACCCTGCTCAGGTACCTGCAATGGTTCCCATTTTCTATAGAATCAAGTCTACATGTCCTTAACCTGGTCTTGACCACCTTTCCAAAATAATTGCCACAAGTCAGCTTCATATAACCTGCAAGAGCAGAACCAACTTTCACTAATCCCCTAAATGTCAGCTGATTCCCACTGGCCTTATTCTCCTCTCCACCTGGAATGCAGCCAGCACTCTCTAAATGCCCTACTCCTGGCAGGTTTGAAGTCCAAGCTCAAATACCACGTAAGTAATGATCAGCCGGATGTAGTGTTTCTTTTTAAAACCTTAGCAGGAAAACCAAATGGAGGGAACTGAAAGGGAAACGGAGTATATGTTTTATCTCATTGCTATGATTTGAATGTGTCCCCTCCAAAATTCAATTGTTGCCAGTGTGGTAGTATTAAGAGGTAACGCCTTTAAGAGGTGATTTGGTCATAAGTACTCCTTCCTTACGAATGGATTTAGGTTCCCTTATAAAGGGACTTGAGAGGGGGAGTTTCCCCTTTTTGCCCTTCCAAAAATTGCACTTTTTTCATTTGAGGACATAGCATTCAAGACACCATCTTGGAAACAGAGACCCAATCTTCCAAACCAAATGTGTCAGTCTTTTGATCTTAGACTCCCCAGCCTCTAAAACTGTGAGAAATATCTAAAGAAATATCTGAAGTTAGGAAGTAATTGCTTCAGATATTATCTTTATAGATAAGTCCATCTCAGATATTTTGTGGTAACAGCACAAAATGGACCAAGACTCCCACTTAACATTGGTTTTGCTTTATTTTCACTATGAATAAGGCCTTTCTTCCCCAATCAGATCTTATTATCCTTGGGGCCAGATTTTTATCCCCTTAGCTCCTTGCTCAAGAATGCACTTAATAATGTTTGCTGACTGAATAAATATACACACACAATATG